TCGTAAAAGTGTTGAAAAAGCACTTAAAACGCTACTAAAATAGCTAATGTTTTATTTTTGGGTGCCAAGGGGAACAGAAATAGTCAGTTAGTTTTCCCCACAGCTTATCCCCCGTTAACGAACCAGAACCCGAAAAGTCGGATCGGTTCTTTAGGATTTCCGGGGGGGAAACCAAATTTTTTCCTGGTTTTCCCGGTTGACCTAGTAATCAAATATAAAGTGTTTTCACATTGTTTTTAGTAAATTCTAACTATATTTAAAGTAGAAAAACCTTTCAAAAAAGTTAGAAAAATGTTTGAAAAAGTCGAAAATTGGTCATTTTGGGTCTTTCCCCCCGCTAATCCTAAAGGTTCTATAGGATTTTTCGACCTAAAATTAAATTTTTTAATTAAAATTTGGGTAGTTTTTATGCTCAGGAATAGTTAAAAACCTTTTAGAGACGCATGCGCTATTTAGAAAAAAATTTAGGCCTGGGCCGAAAAAATTTGGTTCCCCCCTCCCCGGAAATACCCCCGGAAATCCTAAAGAACCGTCGGATCAATCATAATGCGGAAATGCATCTAAACAAATTCGTTCTTGTTAATTTCGGCATTATTTAATTTTTCCCATAGTATTGTGGTGATTTTCTGAGATTTTTTGTTCAGTTAAATCTCGAGTTCCTGAAATTTCGGCATTATGAAATTTCGACATTTAAAATGTAGCTTCAACCCCGCTTTTCAGACCGTCGCGGCGATCGGGATCGCGAGGATCGTGGCGATCGACGTCGTCGTCACAGCTGAACACCCGTCTAACCACCGGCTACCTCGTCTCCACTTCATTCCCGTTGACACTGCCCCCACCCACCCGTTCGTTGTACTCACCCACCACGTTGTCGTCATTGTCGCGCCCCGGTTGCCCCACCTCTACTATATATCACGATTGTGGTTTTTCGCTTGAACACGGTTGCCCCCTCCCTCCTCATCCCCATTGGCGGCCGTATCCATTTTCTATATGCAATATCTCGCTACTATATACTTGATGAATTGTCAGACGGTTCTTTAGTACTTTCGGGTGATTCGAATTTTGTCCTGTCGGCCCAAAAATGGGTCGTAAAGTCGTAGCAACGATTTTAATCGGCTTTTTAGTTAGTTTGGTGATATTTCATGTTCAAAAACTGTTTAGAAATATAAAACTTTGATCAAAATCGAGCATTTTTGGGTAAAAAAAATCGATATCTCCTTTTCGGAAGCATAAAAATGGCTAGTAAAGTCGGAGGAACTCTTTTAATATATTTGAAGTCTAAAAACGGTTTAGAAACGACAAAAATGGTGGAAAAACATGTTTTTATCGAAAATTGACCATTCTTACGTGAATAATCTATATTTTCTGTATTTTGGTAACAATTTATCTACAAAAAAATTGGACTTCCCTCCCGGAAATACTAAAGAACCTGTGCTGCACCTTCTAGAGCGCTATTTGGGGGTCTATTGGTAAATTCGGACGATATAACCTTGTCGTAAACGCCGTCCCGGGCAAGTCCACAATTTTCTAGAACCCCCCAAATGATCGTCGTCGGATTGTGCTTATCTCGGTTGTTCACACGTCTCACCCGCCCGTTTTAGATGTCTAGCTGGGGCCCACCCGAGCCCCCTGTTTTTGGGTGTAGATGGCCAATGTTGCCGTTTGTCCGCGTGCCGTACCGCGCGGACCCGTTGTTGTTCTCCTCCTCGTCTCCACTCTTACCCACCACCGTTTCCACCATCATTTCTCATCTGTTGTGCGGGAATAAAGTTGAATTTAAACGGTTTTATTGTCGACTTGGCACCGAATCGATGAATTTGCCGGAAAGAAGCTACTTGTTTTATTGGCGCTGTTTTGATTTTCGATAGGCAAAAATATTTTCTCATGTCGCTGTTGTATTTCCGGAATTTCCGGCATTTTTTTTGTTTTTATGGGCTCTGGTGTCAGCTTTTTTGCGGAATTGGATTTTGCTAGAGCTAGATTTTGAGCGTTTTTTAAGGCTTCTGCTTTGATTTTCGAAGGTTAACAATATTTTCTTATATGATCTGGCGGATTTCCGACGAATCCAGCTTTCTGTAGGTATATTTTTCCAGATTTTGAGGCGGAAAAACGAGACTTGGAAATTTTTAGATAGAAAATGTTCAGAATGGGGCTTTTTATCTAGATCAGGCCCTAAAAAATTTAAATTACGAAATTCTGGGCTTAATTTATCACCCCGAGCCCGGTATTCCGCTCTCGAAATTCCCCGCCTGACCAGGAGTTGATAGCCGGGGCGTCGAGGTGATAACGTGCCCCGTTTCAGACCTCTGACCACAACACCCGAATCGGCAGGGACCAGAAAAAGAAGGAGAAGCCGCCGCCAAGAAGCCGTAGAAGATGGCGCTCAGCGCCTCGACCTTCCTGCTCGTCATCCTGTTCGGGTCGGCGGCGTGGATGGGCACGAACTCGGTGAGTTTTATTTTGATGTTGAAAAGCGCGTGGAAATGGAACGAAAAAGGTTCACCCAATTGTGTGGATAACGATCCAAGAGGTTGGTGCAAAATTTTGAAACGCGTTTGTTTTCTGGAAAACCGGAAGTTATGAACCAATTTTCTACGATTCAAAAATGGTGCTTTCGTAAAATATCGGGGGGGGGGCATATTTCTCCCGATAAGCCTAGAAATATCTAGTAACCTAACAGTAAAATAAAGTAAAATTTTTAGTAAAATTTAGCTATATCGTAAATTTGAAAACTTGTACATATTTTTAAGTTAAAATTTTGGTCAAAAATCAACCGTTTTTCGTAAGATAATCATTGTTTTGTATGTTTTTAGCAAAATTGTATAACTTTTACGTTTAGGAATAGTAAAAGCAGGAATAGAAACGCCTCCACTATCTATAGTTGAAAAATTGGATCCTTAGAAAAGATCTCCCCCGATAATGCGGAAGAACCTGAAAAAGTCAGAAAACTGTAGTTTAGTAAAATAAAAACAAAAATTTATTTACAATTATCTTTATAATAACATTTTTAGATCTGGATGCAACTGCCGCTCGTCACCTCCGTGCTGCCGGAAGCCTGGAATCTGCCGTCATTCCTTGCGGCCGTCGTGCAGGTGGATAAAGAATTTTGGGAGGTCCTTCTTTATTGATTAAAATTTGCTATAATTCATTTATTATTTATTTAGTGTTATTTATGGATTATTTACTAAATTAGAGCTGCGATTCTAAAGCAAAAAAAACACATTAAAACTATTGTACCAATTTTAGATAGCCTGCATCGGACCGCTCGTCTACGGCATCTTCCACAAGCGCCTGCACGCCCCGACGGTCATCGTCGCGCTGCTGGTGTTGCTATTGGGTGCTTTTTATGGAAAGTTTGATGTAATGTAATGTTATGCACGGATTGGATAGCGATTATCGCGAACTTTCGTGATTTCTAGGCAAATCGGGTTGAAACATTTTATGCGGAATTTTTTTTCTAGATTTTAATGACTATTTGTAAATTTTGCGCTAGAAAATGCAGGCATACTAGCAGAGATTTTCGGGGAATCTTGAGTAATATATCATTTTGAGCGTAAAATAATTAATCAATCGCTTTAGTGTGCTCCTTTCTGCTGATACCCTTCTGGGACGTCACGGCGTGGCTGGGGACTCAGCAGTACTCGCTGGTGCTGTACGCGCTAATGTTTGGCATTGCGTTGGTACGTTTTTTGAAACAACCATTGAATAGTTATCCTACTACCAGCGCCCAAAACCCGCTTCGCGGGCCTTGGGCGCTGGAATCCGTCCTTTGCATGATAAATTTGACTTTCCGATAGCTTGGGTCCTTCGGACCCCTCCCTTCCTCCGACCACACCCGCGCGTGCAACTTGCAAGAATGAGGAAGTTTGTATTTTGTGGAATCATGCAAAGTAGCCCTCCCTGGCGCCGGACACACACACACACACACACACACACACACACACACACACACACACACACAAAGATACGCGACCAAATTATATAAGGTAGGATCCTACTATATATAAAAAAATAGTGTTTGTGTGTGTGCCACTTTGCATGCAACTTCCGTCAGGTTGTTCCAGTCGTATCTCAAGAAGGAGAGTAGTTAGGGTCATGTTTGATACGTCATTAGGTCCAGGAGATGACTGCACACACATCAATTTTATCAAAATCGTCTATTTTCGAAATTAAATTTTAGTTTTTGTTGAAAATTCCCGACACCCTCTTTGTTAGGAATCAATTAGCATATACCGGAAATGGGGAGAGCTTATATAAAGTGGCAGAGAGCGCATTTTTCACTTTTTTCAGCGTGGGTCGTGCCGAATTATGCAAAGTGTAAACTTTCATTGGGTTGGACGGGGCCAGGGTTGAAAAGTCGCGAAGCGGCTTTTCAACCCTGGTTATAATAATAATTTGATATAAAAAATTCAAAATAGCGGATTCTTCGAAAAATCGGATTTTTTTTTGAACCACCTCTAGAGCTTTATTAAATTGTTTTTAAAGTTTTTGATAGAGCTTTTGCTGTAAAACATTATCTTTTGCAGGTCAACAGCACGTCGAACGTGCTGTTCATGCCGTTCATGGCCCAGTTCCACCCGGCCTACCTGAACGCGTATTTCGGCGGAATGGGGCTGTCATCGCTGGTGCCGAGCGTGCTCTCACTCGCGCAAGGTGAGAATGAGAATGAACTTGCTCTCTCTCTCTCTCACTCTCTCTCGCTCTCTCGCTTTAAAAATACACAAGTAATATTTTTTGCTATAACAATGGGAATTAAAGATTTGTTTTGCCCTAAAAATAACCTGTTTCTAGGCTCCGGCAACTATGAATGTGTCCGCAACGGTACAGCAATGCTGCAACTCTACCACCCGGCGCGCTTCTCGGTGTCGGTGTTCTTCTCGGTGGTGGCCGGTTGGACGGCGTTGGCCGCCTTCGCCTTCGTGCTCCTCTACTGGACCGGCGCGCACAAGAAGCATCGGTAATTTGTAATTTTTTTTTGGTTTTTTTGGATTATCGGTGGGGGGACCAACTTTGTCTAGGGATCCAAGTTTTCGAATATAAAGAATTCAAACAATACAAAATTAGCTTGTTTAACGCGTTTCTAAATTTTTTTTACTATCCCTAAACCTAAAACGTTGCAAATTTTATTAAAAATGCCAAAAAGACATATCAGTTGATTTTCGACCAAAATTGGCCATTTTTGACTAAAATCTCGGGTTTTCAGAACGTTGAAAAATTTGGGTAGTTTTAATTAGTACTTTACTAAAGACACTATTAAAATACTGATTCTTTAGTTATCCCCCCGATATTGCAAAAGCGCCATTTTCACAGAAATGTTTCAGACAAACCGCAACCCCCCTCCCGGGTGAAAAAACATACCCAGTGGAAGAGCTAGACGAGGAAACGCCGCTTCGGCCTCCAACCAGCCGGGAGCAGAAGACGGAAGTTGATGAGGAGATGATCTCTTCGGGAAAGGTCGGCTTTTTCTTTCGGACCCAATTTTTCTAACCTAATGATGGGTAAAGATTTTAAAATTGCATTTTTCCTCAACGCAAAAACTTACAAATTTTTGCCAAAAAATCAGAAATATTTTCGAGCGAAATTCAGAATTTTAAATTTTTAACATATTTAAGTAGTTTTCCACTTCAAATATTGTTGAACTTTACCAAGGTATCATTAAATACTTATTATTACGTTATTTGGCCGGTTGGCTTTTTAGGAACATTTGCTCCCCGTGTCAGCGATAATGCGAAAGGACGGGAACTTTTTGGTCTAGTAAAAGGCACAACTTCTGATCAAGGCGGAATTACTAAAATTAATAGTGCCTTGGTAATGTTGGATTTCGGAACATGTTCTCAAAAAAAAAAATAAATGGAAGAAGTTCTTCTTCGAATTGGTTTCATCGAGGTTTATATACTTTTTTTAGAGCCAATCCAGCAGTGCCGCAAAGAGCAGCGACAACTCGGAGGCGATTTCCGGCGGCTCTTACTACTGGATTCTGGGGCTGACGGCGTTGGTGAACGCGCAGATGAACGGTATCATCCCCAGCATACACAGCTACGCAGCGCTACCTTATTCACAGGTAGTTCGGAGGGTGGAACGAAACGGAGTTTTATCGGGGGCCGGCTAGCAGAGGTTCTTTCGGAAATTATCGTAATAGTTTTAAGACCATTTTCAGACAGTCTACCACCTCGGGCTGACCCTGTCGAACATCGTGGCTCCGCTCGCGTCGTTCGCCCCGTTTTTGGTGCAGACCAGGTAGATAGATTTCCGTTTTTTAAGGAAGAAATTGAATAATTTAAAGCACGCTAATAACTTAATCTAATCCAATTCCAGATCCGTGCCCATTCTGACGACCCTCTCGCTGACGTCGTCCTTCTTCACGGCGCTGATCGTCTACCTTGCATCGCGGAGCCCCGACTATCTGTTTGGGAATTACGGCGCCGGGGCCGGGCTGGCGGTGAGCGCTAAATATTTGGCTTTGCAACCCCTTTAAATTACTTTCAGGACCTGGCAAGGCACATATTATTATCGATTTTGTATACAAACTTTGATTAAAAACACTAAAGATCACAATTTTTCTGCCAAAAAAATAGCTGATGTGCGGCAAAATGCCGATTTTTTTAAAGATTCTGGTTTTTTGCGATGGTTTCTTCTTAGGCTTACACTTAATTATACCAATAAGCTTTTAAAAATACTTCTAAAGTTTTTAAAGATTCTGGCTTTTTGCAATGGTTTTTCCTTTAAATACACTTATATTATACCAAAAAAGCCTATTAAAATACTTTTTAACAAAAGTGATCAATCAAAAAAGCCGATTTTCGACAAAATGCCGATTTTTTTAAGATAGTTTTTCCTTTAAATACACTTAAACTATAGGAAAAGGCTATTAAAATGCTTACTGTTACGTTGCTAGGCGTTTCTGGATTCATAAAATTAAAAAAAATTGAAAAAATTGGCTTTCCTCAAAATTTCGAAAAATTCTATTCATGCCTTGTCGACCCTTTAAAATACATAGATCGTAACCCCATTTTCAGGTGGTTGCTCCAATCCTTGCCGCCGGTCTCCACTCTTTTCTGCGTACCCTGTTTGCCTCCGTACTCCGCGAGGGGTCCCACGGCAGCGAATCGCGGCTATTCTGGTGCGGTGTCTTCATCCAGGTCAGCATTTGCCTTCACTGTCCCTTTAAAGCGTTAAAAATCGTAATAAAAATTTTAGATTACTTTCAAACGTGAGAAATAAAAAATAAGTTCAAAATAAAAATTTGTGGAATTGAATTTTTCAATGTTTCATTTCTGGAAGAGCAAAATTGAACTGTCATAAATCTAATATGATGTCCCTGGTTTTTAGATGCTGTTGGAAACTGGGTTCTTTCGCCATAGCGGGAGTGGGGTGAGCTCTTTAGCATCAAAGTAGCAACTCCTCTTTACAAATTTTATTGGAAATACAAAAATCTAATTTATGGACCAAAAAAGGGCCGTTTTTCGACCAAAATTTCGTCTTTTAAAAATGTTTGAAAATTTTTCGACTTGAAAGCTGGCGAAATTTACCTAAAAACGCTATTAAAATAGCTATTACGTTACTAGACATTTCTGAACGTATGCAAATTTACGCTTTTAACGGGCCCCTCCCAACCGATGCGAAAGCTCCCGAAATTGGTGTAAGAATATACAGTTTGCGATGGAGATTTAATCAATTGATTCAATTTAGTGAAATTATTAAAAATATAGCCATTCATTCAGTCAATTCGCCCCACTTTTCAGATCGGCTCGTTCGTCGGCTCGGCGGTGATGTTCCCGCTCGTCAACTTTGCCAAGCTGTTCGAGGCGGCGCCGGCTTGCCGGCCATGACTTACCTGGCGGGATGGGTTGTGAGCGCATTAATTGATTCCTTATAATTCGAATTTTAAACAGATTTAGTTATCTATCGTGTTTGATTATTTCAAAAATTGATGTTTCGTCCATTTCACGTCATAAAAAATTTCGTAAGATTTTAATTGTTTTAACTTGTTTGACAGAAATTGTGATTAAAATTTCCGCGACTAACTTGCGTGTTTTCTGATATTTTTGCGAGCTTCTCCCCCCACGACAAACTGGTGATCTGACCTCCCGCCTTCCGAAATGTGGCCATTAACGTGTGAATGCGCTCAATCTGTGCCTTATTTGCATGCCATAATCCGTGTGTATTTTTTTGTGAATATCAACAAATAAAGGCGAGTTTTATTAAGGGTTTTACCAACAGACCTAACCGCGGCGCGACACGCAACGGGCAGGCTCGCATTTCCCCTTCGTAATCGGTTACGGCCCATTCAAGTTAGTCAGGTGGAAATCAGATGGAACGCCGACAAACGAAAATCGACAACAAATTCCGAGCTCCGAAATCCCGAAAAACTATAATCTCGACAGCGAAAATATTGATAAACGAGAATTCCGAATGTGACAAAATGCCTGAAAGCTAAAATCTCGACAAAAAACCGTAGCGAAATGCCGACAAATAAAGTTCAGCCACTGTAACTGCTGGCAAGAAAATGCCGACAAGCGAAAAACTCGAGATATTTTTAATGTTGTGATTTTGACGTTTTTCCGATCAATTTTGATTTTTCGCGGTATTCCTTAAGAATAAATTACCATGAAAAGACGAAATTTGTTTCACTTTTTCGATGAAACATGAAAAACCAATTTTTCGAAAAACTCAAATTTTTGTTCAAATGCTTTTAGGAGTGTCAGATAGTCGTAGATTGTTTATCGATACTTTATCTAGCTGAAAAAAAACACAAATAAATACCGAGAAAAAGGCACGGAAGCTGATCGAGTTGTCGTTTAGCAATTCGTTCTTATGGGGAGTTTTTGGTTAGGAAAAAAAGGGAACTGGACTGTTAGCGGGGTCGGGGAATAAAATTCCTCTCCCCCCGCTAAGAGTCCAGTACCAAAAATTAATATAGACGAATCAAAGTCCAAAACGAATAGGGGGCAGTTTCTTTGGTGGAAGGCGTAGCGGCGGCAAAACACATATATTCAAATTATTGGCACTTTTTACGGAAAATTGGAACACATAAATTGTTGAGCAAAGATGTTTCAAAAAAAGTAGTTAAAAGGCAGTAAAAAAGTAGGTGTTTTACATCGTTAGTGGGTTTAGGCTTAGGCTTGGGCTTATCCCCATCCGCCGGTCAATTGCTGGAACATCTCTTCGTTGAGGGTCTGGCTCTGCTCCTTGCTGCGCATCGACACGAAGATGTAGCCGCCGATGAACTCGTGCACCACCTGTAATCATTTTTTATTGTGTTAGGTTTGCTAATTCGTTGGAGCGTGACTTACAGTAGACTCGGGCTTTGGCTTAGGTTTGGCTTAGGCTTCGGGCTTAGTCTTGGCTTAGGTAAGCTAACTTCTCACCTTTCTAGAACCTTAAAAATGCCGAAATTTCCTAAATGATAAATCAAAATGCCGACATTCAAAAATATCGAAATTTTTGCATATCATTTGAACTTTGAAGCTTTCCGGAAGATTCTGCAGGAAAATAATAATTTTGAACTTTTTATTTGAATTTTGAGCGGGCGACAATTTTGAATTTTTCCAAAAATGAACTTTCAGCGACAGGAAAAACTTGTGTTTCGAAATCTATACGAAAACAACTCGGAAAATAGTTGATAGTTGAAAAGCGACTTTCGCTATCACTCAACCCAGTGATCCCTATTCTAGTAGATGCTCACCTTGCAGTCAGCCGACAACGGCTTAAACTCGATGTCCTCCTCGTTGAATTGCACCTAAAAGGTAGTATGAATTGTGTATTTGAATAAATGTATACCTTCAGATGGCGAATTTCCCAGTTGACGTGCCACTTCTTCATCGACGTGTACCGCCACGTCTTCAGCGTGTCCCCGTTTTCCTGGTTGAACTTGACGATGCGGTTGTTGGCGATGCCTAAAAAATCGAGTTTCTTTAATCGATGTAAAATCAATAGAAAAATTAAATAATAAATAAATAAATGAATTGAATTAATAAATTTCGTCAGAATTTCGACAATCAAAATCCCAAAAGGTAAAAATTTCGACAGCCAAAATCCCGAAACGTCAATCCCGGATTCTGGATGGCTGTCGGTATTTTTGCTGTCGGGATTATGGGTGTCGGCATTTCGGTGTTTTTCCGTATGAATTTTTCTTCCAAAATACCAATGCGCACCAATAAGGTCCGATTTTCGGTTGGAGTTGCGGAAGCGGACGACAAAGTAGTGCATTCCGTGCTCGGGCAGGGCCTGAAAAAAAGATATTTCAGATACAATTCAATTTCAGGTTCAATAGAAAATTTTAATGAGCCTGCCGATTTTAATGACCTTAAATTCATGCCTAATTAATTGTTTTTATTAGGTATAGATGCAAAATTCAAATTCGCGTCGTTTTTACTAAAAATAACTATTCTTAGGGCTTCCTAACTCCTTGAAACATTCTGCTAACCAGTGGAAAAAGTCCGCTTCGCGGCCCTTTTCCACTGGACCCCGTCTAGGACCCATGAATTCTCTTTCCTTTGTTTGAAGCCTGCGGAGCAAGAGCCTGAGTCAAGGAACCATTCTTTGGCCTGCGGCGCAAGAGCCAGCGTTGCGCTCCAATCTTTCAGCCTGCGGCGCCAGCTACTACGTTCCCCCGGATTTAGCTGATCTGGGGCAAGGAACCATCCATGGCCTGCGGCGCCAGAGCCAACGTAGCCAGAATCTTTGAGCCTGCGGCGCTATTTACTGGTTTCCTCCAGGGTTTGGCCTGCGGCGGGAGAGCCCGAGCCAAGGACCTTTCCTTTGGCCTGCGGCGCTAGAGCGAGGGCCAGACCTAAATCTCGTATACGGAGAGCTAAGCAATATGTTTGTTTGAAGAATTACCAAAAAGCAAAAAGTAGTCATCGCGCCGGATCCGAACCCTTGACCCCTAGCGCCGTGGACCTGGTGCGCTTCCTTTACACCACAGGGAGTTGGGGGTGCGATCCGGGACAGACCTCTTCATCCCCTGGGGACCCGGCCGGGCGCCGTCTAGTAACTTTACAAAAGTCGATTTTTGAGGTGGAAGATGATCGAATTTGTAAAATCTAATAAGTTGCGCCTAAGAAGCACCATCGATTACATAAGTGGCCCAAATTTCAGCCCGGAATTCCATCAGGGCTTCGAGTTATGCCCCGGACACCACGGCTCTTGGCCCATTTTGTTAAGGACTTTTTAGAAAAATGCTCATAAAAACTTTATTTTACAAAAACAGACAAAACGCAAAATTATATATCGGGAGAATTCGTTTTTCAATCTACCCTCCAAAAATTAGCGGCTAATTCCATTTGGCTCGGGAGATATCCTCTGAACAAACCTTTTTTCGGCCAAGATGTTAAGGATTTTTCACTATTTTGCTTGTAAAACCGTTAATTGAAGGAATTTCGAAAAACAAAAAAATGCGTCACTGACAAATGTGTTTCTCCACCTCCATGCCAAAAATCAGCTCAAAATTCGGCCTGGCGGCCGAGAAATCGGCTGTACAGAAAACAGACATACTTTTCTCGCTTATAGGATAGGATTTCCCCTACCTGCCACGCTCGAATGTATTGAAGTTTCGCTTCGGTTGCCGTGAGTTGCTTGATGCTCGAATGGGTGTCGGACACTTTTTGTTGGATCTGGAAGGTATTAATAATAAAAATATTTATAATAATTTTTTTCTTATGTTCGATTCTTTTATTATAAACTGGTTGTAAACTTTTTTACGCGTAAACATACATACGACCCTTAACACTTTTCTTAAAACAGTAAAATATAGATTTTTCGCGAAATTTTAAAAACCTGAAGTTTTTTTGTGATAGCTTCTATATACAGGGTGTCCCAATAAAAAAGGTCATGCTGGGATTTGGCTATTTCAAATCCGATTGACTTGAAATTTTGAACAGAGGTGCGGAAGGCGATTTAAAATGTTCACAGAAACTTTCAGACCAATCGGTACAGTAGTTTTCGAGTTATTGCGAAAATACTGTTTTTCTAACACGTTCGCTCCCATTTTTTCGGCTATCTTTTTGGACTTTGCATCAATTAACATAAATTTCAGGTTCTAAATCCCTCATTCTTCTTAACATCGGCGTCGTTAGCCCTTGTTAAAAATTCCTTAAATAGCCTATTTCCAAGCCGAATTTTTCGAAATAAAAAATTTCTTGGAATAAAAAAGGGTCGGCGGTTCGTTTTCACCATACATCCTAAGGCTCAATTCCGGCGAAATCCAGGTTAAAAACGTAAAATAAAGTTTATTTTTGCAATAACTCCAAAACTACTGTACTGATCAGGCTGAAAGTTTCTGTGAACATTTTAAATTCCCTTCCGCACCTCTGTTCAAAATTTCAAGTCGATCGGATTTGAAATGACAAAATGCCAGCGTGACCTTTTTTATTGGGACACCCTGTAGTATTAGACCTATAGTTAAATTTTATCATAAACCTTGTGAGATGCTCACTATTACATTACTTCCGTTTATGGAAAAAATATCTTACAAAGATATTTATTCACTCAAGAATTTTTATTTATTTATTCGGCTCGGATTTTGCAAGATTTTTTAGGATGAAATGAGTAGATTATTCTAGGTTTAATTTCTAGGATAGAGATATTTTAGAACTATAGTTAAATTTTATTAAAAAAATTATAAAAAGTCTGACAATTACCTGACTTATGTATTTTTGGAAAAAATATGTTACAAATTAATCCATTCAACCAAAAAAATTGATATCGATTAAAGTCGGACAAAACAATTGCACAATTTTTAGGATGAAACGAGTCGCCTATTGCCGGTTTAGTTTTTTAGGCTTTGGAAATTTGTAAGGGTGTACTGCCTTTTTAATTCCATTTT